GGCTAGCGCCTTCCTCTGACGGCGACGGCAGTAGGAGGTGCCTCCGCCGAGACAGGCTCTGCCAATTCCCGTAAAAGAATACACGTTTTTGTGACTTCTGTTCCAAAACACAGTTGTACCGGTACAAGCCACGGCACAGACCCCCTCCTTTCCCCTTTCCACCCTCCCTCTGCTCTGCTCCTACCGAGGCTCGCAGTGCGTTTCGCTCTCCCTTTGCCTTGGTCCCGTGAAAACTCGTGTTTCATGAACACCTTTGCTTCCCTTGTCTCGGCTCCTCCTCGCATTCCCACGGGATCCCTTCTGTAACCTGCTGCTGATCTGACACAGGAATTTTCTTTGCTAATTCCAAAAGGAAAAAAAAAAAAAATCATTCCTCAGTGAAAAGATGCAGCAGCTGAAAAACCTTAGCAGAAGGGAAAGGTTTAGACGGAGTGATTATGAGAGTTACAGCAATAGAGTTGAAGTGCACTGACAGCTTTTGAAACATCTTCCACACACAGTATTTTTGTCTTCAGCTGCGGGGACCCTTCCATTTATCTCCTGTTATCCATATCGCTGATACCAGCTCTGGTTCCTGTTTGTTCTTCGCTTCCTTTCCTGACTGATAATAAGTGGCCACAAGTTTTGGTGCTTGCAAACTTGTTCATTTCTCTGATTACACCTTGTAACACCTCTCAAGAACTTGTGCGCTGTTAGTATCATTAGACCAGAAGGGCTGCAATTACTGCGCGACCTTTCTTCATATTACCGTGCTAATGCGTTCGGCAATCCTCCTTAACCATGCAGGCTACACAAGATCTACATCAGATCAGTAACAAATCATTAGAGTGGAGAAAACTGCTTTTGAATGGTGATCAGGCCTGGTATGACCTAATGACCAGGTCATGATTCTTGGGAGTTTGTGTGCCCTTTGGGAGTTAGAGGGGAGAACATAACCATGGTATTAAAAAGAAAAATGCCCCAAACCCACTTATTACACTTTTATCCCTCTCTAAAGAAAATCCAAACATACTAGTTGGCAAAAATCCCTCTCTTCTAGCAACCAGTGTTTAAAATTTTCATCATAGGTGTTTGCACTTCTTAAATATGAACCCACCCTAATACAGATGTTCAGAATAGTATATTAAAAGAATTGCTTTACAGTCAATCAAGTATACAGATGAGGGCTACCTCACAGAACACAAATTAACCCCTAGAAGTACATGTAGCTTCTATAAGGTTAGGCTGAACCAAGCTACAAAATTTCTGTTCTCTTAACCACAGATACGTAATGTATGCACTGGGGTATCATAAGTACTGTTCATACATTTGAATTACCATGTATCTCAATAAAAAGCAGTAAGCTTGGAATGAACTTGAGCCTTTGAGCTTCTTCCCTCCTTGATTTCTTTATCATCTGACATTTCCAAGTAACATCAGCCAATACCTCAATGTTAAACAGTATCCCAAAATAAGTAGTCTTTGCTTAAAAACCTGGCTAGAGATTGCTTTCCTGTGATATCCATCCTACAAAAAAACTTTGAGTTTGAAATAAGTCTTAAGATCAAAGAGCTTTTACTCAGAGTACCTCACTACTTAATAAAAACAACAAAAAAACAGTAGTGGCATCCTAGTAGTAGAGCATGTCCAAGGAGGAGGGTTCCCTCCCATCTTATGAGAAAATTCCCTCTGTTAAATGTTATCCAGCCCATGTCAGCAGATATCTTATAATTTCAGCAGTTACTACTTCTTCTGAATTTCCAAGCCTTCTGGTTACAGTGATTACATGCTGCTTGGTAGGAACAGGTATTAGCAATGTAAATAGGATCAAAGTTCTATATTGTTGCGGTTTGAGGCAGGGCTGTTTTTCATCAGGTTATATGGTACTGAATGGCAGCGCCAAGCTATCAATAGTATTAATGCAACTTTAGAAATTCAGCATTCAAAAAATATACATCTAATTCGCATTCACAAGAAGAGCACGTGCAATTTTTATAAGAGTAACTACTACCTAGATACATAATTACTGTTAGCATGTGACTAACATGCTAACATGTATGTGACTTTGAACCAATTCTTGAAAGGGAGACCCCAGATAAAGCAGCAAGATGTTAGTTCATGCCACGTTAAAGTCTCATGACTGAATTCAGGCCTTTGTACCTGTGACACCTACCCCATCTGCACAACAGTCAGTAGCACCACCCCAAGAAAGCCAGAGAACCGTCATCAGAAACTTCCAGGGAGGTGAAAGCTCACCTATGAGAGCAGCAGTGAGTATTCTTGGCACTGCTATGAGTCATTTGTTACTCAGCTATTTGATTAACTTGTAAAGGAATTTTAAAAAAAACAACAAATAAAGCACAACAATCTCCTCTCCCCTAACAATTATTAGGCATAGCAGAGCTTACCTTCTTACTAAATGAATCCTCAGGCCTGTGCTCATAATGAAAGCTAGCACTCCAGCAAAACAAAATCTGCATCCTTTCAAAGTCAGGAAAGCTAAAGAAGAAAACTCTGAAGAGAGCACACTGCTCCAGATGTAGAGAGGATGTTCCCTGTCTGTACAGCAGCAGCCCGTAGAGTATATATACACTTAGAAGAGGAAGTTCTTGCTTTCTCTCTTCTACAGGCACTTTTTTTTTTTTAATTAAGTTTACTCTTCCCTGTTTTGGCTTGTCAGTATTGAACTGACCAGACAATTTTAAAATCTGCACATAAATATCTCTCTTCCCTCAGACACCTACTTTCTACAGACACTTTCACTACCTGCTTAGTTCCCAGGCTCTAGAAAGAGGCTGTGGTAATTAGACTGCAGCTGATGCTCATAACAACATTAAGCAGTCTTTTCAATTAGAGATTTGATGATACAGGTGCACAGTGGTTTACAGGAGTCACTTGTTGGTCTGAAAAATTTGGGAATCCCTTTGCTACACTATTCAGAGCTCTTAGTGACCCAAATAAGCTGATCTACTGTTGCTGATTGTGGCACTTTGAAGTGGTGCCTTTCTCCTAGTTCTGTATATCTGTGTCGTAGTCACGCAAGAGGAATGGAAACTGAACAGCCCTGCTAGTCTCTTGGGTTTTGTATTTTCTCAGCAAACTCTTTCGTTACCTGATGTAAGGTGCTTAAGGTAACAGTTCAGTCAGGAAAAAAACAAAGCTTGTGGCTTGCACCTGTGCTAGCAACGCAGCTTGCTGGTGTGTGCCGAAGGTACTGGCCGTCTAGCCTTCTTTTAAGGTTTTACCTCCTTAGAGACATGTTAGGCAAGAGAGCACCACAGCTTTATCAAAGGCTTAAAATTATTCTGTCGTCCACTGGGGTTTACTCATCTACCCATTTCATAGGCTCCCCCAAGCTCTCTTTTTCTCTTGGTTACTACAAGCCTTCACAATTTCTTTGTTCCTCTTCTTTTTGAGAGGTGGGGGAGAAGTTGCCTTATATCCCCACCGCAGTCCTTCCTAGCACTTGTCTCCTTAAATTCAGACAGCTCTGAAAATAAGTTTCTCACAGAAGCTGGGTTCTTTGTTTCACCCTCCAGAGAAATCTTTTGTTTGTTTGTTTGTTTGTTTCTTTGTTTTAAGCTTCAAGCAAACCCTTTAGAGCTGGATTTGCAAAGATGCCTAAAAGGTAGCTTAGAGCTATAGAAGTATCTGGGCACCTGACAGGTCCATGTTCAGGCAATTTAGAAAACGAGATGCATGTCAGAATCACTAGGCACTACCTGCCTTTGGGACCGTGGCCCTTGATTTTTTTGGGTTTCAGTTTTTGCACAGGTGAAGTGTAGAGACAGTACTGATCTACTGCATATTATATGGATAAAAACGATTTATTAACAGCACTTTGAGATCCTCCGGTGAAGAAATGGATTTACATTGACTTAATATAACTGTAATGGGTTGAGAGGATAAATCCTTGTGATCTTTAGGTCTGATCCTGTGAGAAGAACAGCATCCTTGGTTTCAAACTGAGGTCCTTTGTTCATAAGGGTCACGAGAGTATATGCTTGTGTCCCACTCCTCACATAGATGCTTATTTAGTGGAACAGCTAAATGCTTGATAATGACACTTCTTTTTCCTCCTTTATAGGTGGAAGGTCCAGAAGCACTAGGGTACTTGATTTTGTTTTAATTGCTAAGCCACAAAAGACTGCAAACATGTCTCTGGAAGACATCCACATGAACACCCAGGATTTGCTTGAAAAAAAGCAATTAGATGCTGGAGGATTTGGAACAATTTCTTTATGCTTTCACAAGAAACATGGATATGTAGTATTAAAAAAAGTGTATACAGGACCCCAGCGCACTGAGTAAGTTACAGATCTTAGTTCTGATTTTTATCTTTCAGTTAGTCTAAGGAATCCTCTAAATTCAATGGAGATAAATCTAAATAAAGTGTAATAATTTCAGATCTTTGGATTCTGGAGGTAATGTATGTGGGGAAAATAAGACGATACTAGCAGCTGTCCTGCAAATTTTCCTTTTTTTCCCTCACAAGCCAACTTTTTTAGTTTAAACTCATTGTTCCAGTGAAGTTCCTGTTTTCTGTTGCAAGGTGAGCATGACTGTGAATTGTTAAGAATTGAGGGGACTCTTGCACACTTAAGGAAATGCAGGAACTCAGTGGGCATATGATATTTTCAAGCATGCAGATCAATTTTCAATATAATTGTCCAACCATACATGTCCACTAGGACCTAAACACACATGAGCTATCAGCAGGACTCCAACCCTACATGTATAATACCAAGAATGTAACCCTCTCTCCCTTGAGAAAAAACAGAGTGAGACAAGCTCACTGATTTAATTCAAGGATTGAATTAGCTGTTGATTTCAGTGGATTCAGGTCACATTGCAGAGCCATAACAATCCTAAAACTCTCCCATGAGTCATCCATTAGAGAGAGACAAAAACCCATCTTCTTCTAGTTTGGGTTATAATAAATAAATTAACCGAGTTTTTATTTTGCCAGTGGAAAGCGAATTAAGAGCTTCTAGTAGTTTGCAAACTGCACTGACAGTTTGGCATGAACACAGTTAAAATGGACAAGCCTGCCTGGTTTATTTTTGGGTTTGTGTTTTTACTTTCTCACTACACGGGCTTGTAAGTTTGTTATTCCTTAAAGTCTTGAACCAAAAGTCTTAAGCAAATTATAACTGAGCCTAATGCAAACAGAACAGCCACTTTCTTCTCTAGTACTAGAGGAACACAGAGGGAGAAAGCTGTTTCCTTTTAAGTCACAGGGTACGAAAACATTAGCAAGCAACATAGTCTCAAGATTTTCTTGCATCCTTTTGCCCAATGACTAGAAAAGGAGCAATAGTAAAAAGAAGACTAATATAACGGGTACCATCCTTCTTTAACACCCTTAGTGAGCTCCCAGCTGTGTACCTGTGACTATTGATGGTTGTACCGAGGCCCAGGTAAAGAGTTAGGCTTTGAATTCATCCTAAACCAGTAATCGTTAGTAAATGTTATCACCATCCAGTATGTGGGTGGATATTATGTGGTAATAAATCAATTTTGAACGTGAACATGAATACCAGCCCTCTGGGAAAGAGACCTGTATAGTTTCCTGTACAAGAGGTAGTGGAGTATGTCTTGATCCTCCTTGTCCAAAGGCTCTTTCAGCCCTGCATGTCCTGATCGCACCCAGTTCAGGGATTTGGACATACACAACCAGCAGTGCACCTACAAAAAGAATGCTTATGCACTTTCTGAAAAGCAGGCCTTAAAATCAGGCTGAGCAGACAGTCTCTGTGCAAGGCATTTGAGACTTAGAGAATACAACCTGGCACGAACAAAGCTGTATCAATTCAAAAACAGCTGAAGGTATGGTTCATCTTACAGTGGCTCTAGAAATGTTGACATTTTTGGCCATCGTTTTCATTATGAATCAACAGCATTTTCATCCCTGCGTTCTTTCTAGCCTGGCACCTAAGTTCAGTGTAATTTCTGTTTTACAGATATAATGCTTCCCTCCTTGAAGAAGGCAGGATTATGCGCAGACTGCAGCATGATCGTGTGGTAAAACTACTAGGTATAATTTTGGAAGACGGAAACTACTCACTTGTGATGGAGTATGTGGACCGGGGGAACATGATGAAAGTGCTACAGAAAGTGAGCAGTGAATTGCTTCATCCCTTGCCGCTCCTTAGGGTTGATAAGATGCTTGAAAGGGACAGGATGTTACTGCTATCTCCAAAGAACGGGGTCTTTAGTTTCTAATTCTCCTTTCTGTATTAAAGAGCCAGTGGCAGCCCCACCTTCTCTAGAGGCAGCAGAGGACAGCTACGGCTTTTCTGCGCATCACAGAGGAGCAGACCACAGTTACAGGTTCAGAGTTACAGGAGTGTTTGTAGAGATATGTAGAGAATTTGCTAAAGAAGAATGCTTTTGTAAATATGGAGTGACTCTAGAATTACTTTCATGTGAAAATTTAGATCCAAGAAGGATGTCGGTTCTTTTTTACCCTGGCTTAAGCAGAGCTACTCTTAGGACTGAGAAAGAAACTTTTTTAAAGGCTGTTTTTTAATTTGATGGTTGTAGTAGCATTTTTTAATAGACGGCACTTCTCTTCTTTATTTTAGCTCTCAGTGCCTTTGTCAGTGAAAGGGCATTTTGTGCTGGAGATCACAGAAGGAATGCTTTATCTGCATGAGCAAGGCTTCGTACACAAAGACCTAAAACCAGAAAACATCCTTGTGGACACAGACTTCCACATTAAGGTACTTGTTAGAATGTAAATGGACAAAGCTGATGATCTGTCTTGAAGAATCCAGTTCAGCTGCATTGGTTAATATTCCTGATTGGCAGATGAACTCCTTTGTAATCTAGTGAGCTATCGCTAAGAGAGTGTTAGTAGTGGATCACTGAAGTATAGTGGCCTATAAAACCTCTGAGCCTGAGATTTGTATAATCTTCCCCCCATCTGTGGGAAAAAAAAAATCACTAAGGGTATTAAAAAAAAAAAATAATATTGTTGAGAATTAATGAACTACAAATAACAAAGCAGCTAGAAACTAAAAAACAAACCTTGACACGCAGAGATTGAAACAAAATAACGTCTTATGGCTCATGCCTTTTGTCCTTTATTGCTGTAATTTCTCCTCCTGCCTTCACCTCCTCCTTTTTATTCCTTTCCTTCTTTTGCCTATTATCTTTTCCTCTTTTGTCTCCCTCTTTTTTCCTTTAGTCATCATTTTTAAATGACAGCCAGCAGCTACAAAAAAAGCAGCAGGAAACTACTTCAAAGAATGATTTATAAGCCTGTTCCAAGCCCTTCTATTAACTTTAGTGGGCTTTTGGGTCAAGACACATAGATACAGAACCTACTGCTGAATAAACCTGAGTAGAATTTGCAGCAGTCCTCATCAAAAGTCCTGTCTCTGGTCAAGGTGAGTTGCTGAAATGATCACCCCATTATAGTATGAAACTACAGAATAAATTCCTGTGAAGAGAGCTCTGTCATTTGATATTTCTCACACATATATTAGTGAGAAGTGGTTTGACAAGGTTAATATAGTAGCGAGTCCTAATGCAGTATGAGCAGCTTGCAGGTAAGAGTTATAAACTATATTTTTCGGCCAAAATTAAAAAAACCATCATGATCTGCTTTAAATGTAAATTGGATGGTTTTTTGGGTTTCAGCTTGCTTATACGGACAGGACCAAACTAGGCTATCATCACACTGCATGACAAACTGAACCTGGAACCCAGGATCAAATTCAGAATCGGATCAGACTTCCTTAAGCAGACTTGATCAAAAGTATCATTTAAGGCAGCAGTATGATTTATCTGCTTGTCTAATATTGCCAAAATTTACAAAAGGAAATAGTTGTTCTAGGAAACTACGTAGGAAGATTTATATCATATCTTCCTCTATCACATTAGACCTCCTGTCACTTGTAGACATGAACTTGGACTCCTACTTCTTCAGCA